TTTCGACGATTTTCAGAACTTTGAAGATACTCAAGTCCTCTTGAGCTTATCTTCAGAGTTTTGACGCAAATAAAAAAGATTTTGCAATTTTTTCTTGGTGAAAAGAAGATCGTCTTCTATCTTAGAAATTAATTCGCAAGATGCTCCAGCGAGAGAGCTCTCAGTCATTTCTTACGACAATGAGATTTCAAAATTCGCGATCGATAACTCATTCGACAACGATAGATATCGATGATAGCGCAATCGCGTCGGAGGGAAGAGAGGAAGCGAATGAAGGGCGGGCGTCGACTTTTTAATCGTCTTCTGCTCGGACCTCGGCGGATAAAGCAAACGGCCGCGCTGATGAGAGATCAGTAGCCCCCGCGATGGACCCCGCGCGACTTTCCTCGCCTCTCTCCCGAAGCCCCTCTTGAGCTGCGCCGGTTCTGGTATGCATCGCCGACCGCGGAACAGAGTACAAATGCACTCGAGCTATCTGACGGGACGTGCAATGACCGACAAAGGTCACTCGCGACGTTAAATCTGCATATCGTTTCTCGCTTCGCTCTCCGCTTCTTGTTCATTCTCCTTTGGCGTGCTGAATCGGCCAGAAACGCCGCTAGGATCATCCGTCAGGAAGACGGTACGACGTTGACAATTTTCGTTCGATCAAGAACGATTATATTTGACTGTCATGTGAAAACCAATTTGATTTTCAATATATGTACATGAAACCAATTTAAATTAAATTAATTTGAAAATATGAGGAAATTGAAAATTTGCGAACATCAGTCTTGTAAAGTTTTCAGTTCTGCTATTTTTTTCTAACTTTACTTCGACGTTTGTAATTATTTTCTTTTACAGATTTTTATTTTTATAATATATATTTTTCAGCGCGGAAATGTAGTGTAATAGATTTGCGAATATCTTACGTTATATAAACAAAGAAAGAGAAAAGGGGGTACTTATTCGCGCTCGAATAAGTAGTTTGATTTGACACGGCAGAAAAGAGGAAGAACAGAGCATGAGAGTTCGTCGTCTCGTCTAATGCGGCTGATAACCTCGCCTAAACCCGATCGTCCTATCGGGTAGAGGAAAGGGCGAGTAAAAAAGGAAAAAGAGCGATGCAGAGCGAAATAGAGGAGAGAGTGAGGTGGGGAGGAGACAACCGATCGTTTCGAAATTCCGACGCAGACCGCCACCACCACCGATCACCGCAGGTAGATTGTAGTGCTCGATAGAATTAATCGCGGTGATCGATGTGCTCCAGATAATGGCTGCTCGCGTTAAGAGATCGTTAAGCCGCGCCGCGCCGAGTCGTTGAACCACTTTGAGTAATCGAGGGTTTCGTCCTCGGACGCATCCCATCTGGTTTTCGCAAATTTGAAAAATAAAGCATTGCATTATTACACAAACTTACATTCACTTGTCTCTCTCTCTTTTTTCCGTCTATCTCTATCTCTCTATTTATATTTATTCGTTAGAAAAGAGTATATATTTAGGGGTGTTTGAGATTAATTATAACAATTTTAACAAATTCCTATCTATTCATAATAAGACTGTGTATAATTGAGAATTTTGATACTTTTTGAACAATTTTGCAAGATTATTTTGATGGGGTGAAATGCAAATTACAATGCACCGTTAGAAATTTAATTTTCCTTTTTGTCATATGTGTGTGACAAGAAACTCTTATATAAAAAAAAAAACCAAGAAAATTAATTTTTCTATATCACTATTTCAATAATCTGGTCATTCACAAAATGTGCTATTACTAATCGTTGGCCGATTTTTCTTCATCACCCTCGTATCATTGATCTTCTATCACTTTTTCTCTCTCTTTCTCTCTCGACGTATATAGATTGCCGTTCTTATCAAGAAAAGCGCCTGGTGCTCTTCCTTAAGAATTCTGAAAAGAATTACATTCAGCGCTCTTGCAAAAGGGTTAGCGCCAAAGATAGCTTTTCAACGAGGAGACCCGACCCTCCCCTTCGAGAACTATAGACCGTTATTTACGGCCTCCATCTCCTCTCGATCTCTACTGGCCCCCGAAGCGCACCGGCACATAACTACCACCATCTACCGTATAAGCGTAAGCCGGATTCTTCTCTCTGAGGCGGCGGCGGCGGCGGCGGCGGCGGCGGCGGCAGACATCGAGCAGCCATCTAGATATCGTTTGCAGCGTGCATTGAACGCAGGGGGAA